ATACAACCATCAGCCCGTCGTCATGGTACAATCCATGATCATCAATATGCACTAATTTGTTTATTTTAAACAAAATAAAAATACCCATTAATTCTGAGATCTCTGCACCATCAAGAGAGCCTTGGGGGATGTCAAAACTGTTGTCGAGCGATTTCTTGATCTATGGTTCACCATTGTGGATCAGCACCGACTTCCTACTGTGCTGAATAACTTCCAAATCCCCAGGTTTAATCAAAATAAACTGCCTGGCAAAACATAATGCTTCAGACAAGCCTTCTTCAGTGATAGATGAGTAATAGTCACAGATATTGTACTTAATGAAGACCAGTTTATCTTTACTTCTGATATTTTTGAACCAATCAACACACTCTTTGCTACTCTACCACTGGTTAAGCTGTGTGGCTACACGAAGTGAATCACAGATTTTTGGGATAATGATCTGACTGATAGTACCAAGCTCAGTCTTAGTTGGATTAATATATATATATATATATATATATATATATATATATATATATATATATATATAGGATGTTACACGTCATGTAATAGCAGTTCAAAAATTCTAACCAAGTCTGTTTTGTTCATTTCACACTAATATCTTTGGAAAATGTATAAGTCTGTTTTCCACCAGCTAGATTAAGCTGGACTGTCTTGCTTTGAGTAGTAGCTAATCTATAAAAAAAACTCTGAATTTAGATCCCCCTCACGACCTTGTGAGTATCTTTGTGAGGAGTAACATCTAAGGAGTAAGTCTTACACAAATCTGGAGTGGATCCCCTAAGGCTGTTTGTTGGTGAATTCCATTGATTCCTGCAGCTGTACTAATATCTAACTGATATTTTTTTTTACTAAAGTTCACCTAATAGAAGGCTTGAGAGCCACTCAAGGGTTAGAGAATGAGGTGTGTGATATGAATGTTATGAGATAGAAGGAAGGGAAGATTATGAGGATAAAGGAGGATAGATAACAATGACTCTTGATTTGAAAAGGTTAAGATTGTACTATTCAGGGAAGCATCCATGCAGGAGTAGCAGTTATTGGGGAAAGATGAGTGGAACTTCCTCCTTCCAATTGGAATACAGAAAAAATAATGGGTGTATTACTTTACCCTCACCATTGAACTTTAACTGCAATATCATATTCTTAAATGATAATATTCTCCAATGGGAATGTCAAGACAATGTCACTTTGAGTTCAACTTTTCTTGAGGAATATCACCAATATATCATTCAACTTCTCTTGAGAAATATCACCAATATGTCATGTCTCTGATAATGACCAGAGAATAGTTTAAAACACTAAAACTGATGATACAAATTATGAACAATTCCTGCATAGTCTTGAACCAACTATTTGTTCTCTAGGGCTAAGACAAAAGAAACCATCTAAAAAATTATCAAAATATTCCATGGTTTTCTTACTCATAAAAAAAAAAAAAAAAAAAAATGAATTAGTCTTAAAAAAGAACAAGTCATAAGAAATTAGAATATAAAAATGGAAAACAATATAAATAAAAATAGCAAAAAGAGAAATATAATTTGGTTTAATTCCCCTTAGAACAATGAAACAAAAACAAAAATAGGAAAAATATTCTTGAAGTGAATTGATAAACACTTCCCTAGTAAATTATCAAAAATTATTAACAGAAATAAAATTAAGTTACAGCTGCATGGAAAACATGGAAAAATAATAATAATTAACTATATAAACAATCAGTGGCAGATCAAAGGGGGGACCCTGGCGGCACCTTATGGGGGCAGCATTTTGCAGGTGAAAAAATTTGAAGACGCAATCATTCATTTTTATGTTATGGTGTTTCAAAAAAGAAATCTAATATTTTGTTTTTTTTTTAATTCAAAATTTTTTATTCACCTTCATTCCTTTTTGTTTGGAAGATCACAAACACATGACATGCCACCCTTTTCCCAACCTCAGCTTGGGTGACTGTCTGAGATGCCAGTACTTTGATCTGGCCCTGTTGTGAGCGACCTCTTGCTGAGATTACAAGACCACACCGGGACATTCCAAGAGACATCCCCACTATATTGTATTTTGTACAACCAATATATGTATTTGTTGATGTTTTTGCATTGCAATAGTCGACCTAAATAATTTCGAGATTGTTTTTAAATTATTTTTTTTCAATGTTTTCAAAATCAGTTATGAACATGTTGAAATTTTAATGAAATTTTTGGTATTTAATAAATTAATTTTATAATGAATAGCTTCTTTGATTTAAAAAGCCTTGAGAAAATATTTTTTATCACTTAACAGGACAGCTTCAACGTCATTTGAATAAAAAAAAATTCCAATAGCTAATTTTTACATTTCTAGAAAGTTCAAAAATGAGAAGACCATATATAAAGAAGAATTAAATCTACGAAAAAGTTATTTGAAAATTTTAATTTTGTTTTTAAAAATTCAAAAAAGAATTTTTATACAGTGTTTGTTTCTAGTGGAGTTTTAAAAACAATGTTTTTTTCTTTGGGTTGATCCAAAAACAAATTTCCTCTGGTGCAATTTACCTACATTTTATTCATTTAAAAATTTTACAGTGAATTTTGAAAGCCATCAAACGAGGATGAGGAGGATAGATAACAATTGCCTAAGATGAAATATTTGTAATTAAATAAAGATTTTTTTAATCTATCTGAAAATGTATGATTAAAACTTCCCAATGTAGGATAGCATATTTTCTGAGATTTTAATATATTGAAAAAAATTACAAATGATTTTTCATTCAGACCAAAGTTACTTAAAGAAATAAAGAAAAGTCGTCTTCTTTGAAGTCTTAAGATTTTTAAGATTTATGGAGAAATAAAATTGGTCTTCTTTTCTTTAAGTTGTGCTCCTTCCTAAACTAGTTTTGGTCTTTTGGGCAGAAAATTAAAATTAAAGATAAAATATCACATTTTTTTAAATGTTTTTGTTAGATTATAATTTATATTTTTCTCTTATTGCCCATGAAATTTAAAAATATTTGCATTGTTATTGTTTAATTTCATAATTTGATTAATTGAAATTTCCAATATTTTTTTTACATATCACGGGATACTGATTAGATTTAAGAGCAAAATCATTGAATCAAAATAAGGATTATAGTTGATTTTGATGGTAAATGATAATGCACATGGGTTTTAAAAATTATTTGGGTTTTATTGCCCCAATGATGTTTACCCATGATATATTTTATGAATCTGTGGTGTCAATCCTGGAACAGATCACCATATACACTCAGAGCACACCTACACACAGTATTGGACTAACCAGTTATCCTTGGTAAAAACCTGTTAACTTCAAAATGTAAGTTTAATTCTTTCTTTTTTTTTTTTATTTTGATAATTGAAACATTTTAGAACAAAACAGCCTGCATTTAAATTTGAAAATTAGAAATGACGTTATGAAAGAAGTCTAAACTATTTATTCATAAAAACAAGTTTACTTATTTGGTTATCTTCAAGATACACAATCCCAAAATTTTCAGCTTATTTTTTAAGGAATGCTCTCTTCAAAGTAGCAAGCCTAGTAAGCTTTTTTGATCAGCTTTTTTTTCACGAAATTCTGAAATAATGTTTGATTTGTTTTCAATTCATTGTTAAAAAAGTTTTCAAATTTTGTTAGTAAAAAAAGAGTTCATTGATATATATTTATTGAAAAATGACCAAATTAATTTATTGTAAAAGAAAATTATTTAAGAATTCAAATGAAAAACAAGTTTATTTTCCCAAAAAAAGCAGATCAAAAGAGCATATGAGGCTGACTCCTGCTGCTGAAGGCGGCATTCCTTTAAAAAAAAGCTGAAAAATTTGGGAGTGCATATCTTGAAGATAACCAATTATTTGCTTTTTTATTGGAAAACATTGATATAAAACATTGGATCAGTTGAAGAATCTCCCCCAGATTGATCAACTGTAAAATCTCCACCCCAACTTAACTGCAGAATATCCTCCCAGTCTGAGCAACTGTAGACCTTTAAAACTTGTTAAAAAAAATGAATGTTATTTTTTTCTTTTCAATTGTTTTTTTTCGTAAAATAAAGAAAAACACTTGTAGTAAAGTAGAACTAGAAATATACACAATTTAAAGTTTGATTACATTTCAAAAGTTTTTACTAAACTTGCAATTTTTAAAGCTCAAAAACTATAAATATCACACTCTTCAGAGATTTCAACAGATTTTCCATAAAATCCTTATTTTAGAATTATTATGTGAAAATAACATTTTACATTAAATTTTAAATTTTTTAGAGATTTTTAAACTAAACATTTTCAGAAAAATCAAATCTAGTGCATATTTTAATGTTTATTGTTTTAAAAACAAGTTTCATTACCATCTTTGATAATACCGTAAGGTTAAAAAGTATATACCAGCAAAATAATGTGGAGGTAGTTACTTTGCCTAAAAAATTAATTATCAGTTCTCTGGAGAATAATGTTTAATGAAAGTATCAGAGGTAAACATTTCTTTAATGATTTTTTAATACAAATGTTCAATATTCAGTTATTTTTATCATGACCATTACCATGGATTCAATTTCAAATTATCATATTGAATATAAGAATGATATAAAAAGGGATAAGGAAAATGTATAAGAAAAAAAAAAGAATAGTAAATTTTAAAAATTGAATTTAAGAAAAGATTTAAAAAATTATTGGCTGTATAGGATAAACTCCTGTAATTATTTACTTCTATTTATAAGTAACACTTCCCTATATTCCATTATAAGATGCAAATGAGTCACAAATGTGCCTAGCTAAGTATGGGGTAGCTAAAAAATTATCAACCTTTTTTTATAATTCTGCTTTCAGCCTTGTGCCAAATTGTATCTTAGTATAATAAATAAAAATTCCCTATGCCATTGAGTATGGTTTTTTTCCTATTTGTTTCTATTTTTTCATTGATTTGAATGAGTTATCGGCAAAACCTGAGTGGTGTGGCTTACTGCAAGTTGAAAGCTACCAGAGAACATGAGGAAAGAAAATGTGCTGCATCTTTACAGGTTTTCCTGCAGAAGAAATATGTAACTAAAGCAAAATGCAAAGACAAGGATGCTGAATGTACATCAGAACTAGGAGGGGAGGAACATGGAGAAACTGCGAATGTGGTGGAGATAAATATAGAAATAAAAGTTGAAGAGGAATTTCCTGCAAGAAAGGGATCATTGTTAAAGAAATTGAAGGTGACAATGATGATGTGCCAAAGGAAGAGAGCTCCAGTGTATGCGGTAGGGACAGGTATGAATATGAAGAAGGAACTGATGAAGTTACTGGAAATAAAGAAATAGAACAAGTGAACACATCGCATTTTGACCATGAACTTGTTCAGAGCAATTGCTTGTTGATCTTGTAACATTGGAACCTAAAAAGTTTCAAAACAAAGATGAACTGTTTGCTCTGACTGTAAGACCGGAGAAAAATAGTCCGAGGGTAATGCTACCACACTGGTTTTACAAAACTATTGAGAATGGAGAGACTGTTTTGAGATCATGGTTGCTATACTCAAAGACGAAAAAATCTCTTTATTATTTCTGCTGTTACCTCTTCCTGAAGACAGAGCAATGCAAATCAAGTCTAGCAAGAAGCATTATGAAGCTATTTGTGCAGTAAAAACCGGATTTTAGGGAGTGATTCAGGCACTCGATTCATTAAACTCAGCTTCAGAAAATCTTCAAATGATAGGGGATACACAAATCATTTTGCTTTCAATTGGAAATTACTCCTTCATATCACATTTGTTTTACTGGAAAGAAATTCTGGAACAAATAAATCTCACCCAAAAGAATCTTCAAGAACATGGTATTGGTTTCGATGTGTGTGTAACCCACATGGATAAATTTTCTTTAATCGAAACAGGGACAAGCTGGTGTCTGAATCGGTTAATCAAAGTAAAACTAAGTGTGAAGAAATGGAAATTCCAGTTGAAAAGTGCATTAGAAAAAAGAGAAAGCTACCTGGGAAAAAGGAAGATGATGTATGTCAAACACCTGTGCAGGAAGTAAAGAGAAATCTTTATGAATGTCATGATTGACTTGTAAATGAACTGGAAGCACAATTTGACTCTGTGTCTCATCTACAAACTGTCTTTGCTGGATTATCATTGCAAGCAATCCTGGAAGATACTGAAGGTGAGTTGGAGCAAAATTTTAAAATTCTCGGTAGTGAATATGGTGCTGACTTAGACATATCTAGGCTGCCTTTAGAATTTCTCCAACTTTGGGACTTTTTAGTGACAGCTTCCAAAATGGAATGTGACATGACCATAATGACCAAACCATCGGCTATCGAATGGCTTAGGTAAATTTATCGATGACAAGTTCAAGAAACAGTGTCAAATATTGATTGCTCTACGACTGTTTTTGACGCTCACAGTTTCTGTTGCTACAGCAGAAAGAAGCTTCTCAAAACTGAAGCTCATTAAAAGTCACTTGAGATCGAGTATGTTGCAAGATGGCTTATACAATTTGTCCCTCATTTCAATTGAACATGAAACTGCGGAGAAGATAGACTTTGACCAAATTATTAGTAACTTTGCTTCTGCAAAAGCCCAAAAGATTAAAATATGATAACATTTGTTCATCTAATTTCTGAATTTGTTGTTTTTCAAGTACTAATCAATGTGATTAAGGGTATTTCATTTATATTTTTTCTCCAAAAAAATGGGGGTGCCATTATGAATACGGGCTCATAATATTATCTCATGCAGTGGTAAAGAATAAACAAAAAACTTTCTGGAAAATAAATTTCTAATCAGTAACATTATATATAAAGCTATGGTAATACTAATATTAATAAAAAAAAATTTATATTGGAACTACAAAAAAAAAAACTCTAAAAGAAAGGTATGATTATATTTCATATTAGAAATGCCTTTCCAAAGAAAAAAAAAAGTGCTAATAATACAACTCTTTCTAAATACACAGAAAGAAAAAAATATCTGCCAACATTAAATGGGAAATCATGAAAAAGGTACATCTTTGAAACATCAATCACAGCAACTGTTGACTATGCTTAAAAGAAAAATTACAAATAGTTTCAAAAATCAAAACAGATTGCTAAATAAAAAATTCTAGGAAGATGCAAACATGTTAATAAATATCTACTCTGTTTTATAAAATCAAATGAAAAAATTATGAATTAATAACAATACTTTCATAGATTATTAGGTGTAATTAGACCCCTCAAAGAGTTTAAATAATTAAAAACTTTTATAATTTAAAAATAGTTTTATACATGACATTAAAAAAAAATAATAAATAAAAATAATTAAATTAAATATAGAAGGAAAAATAATAATTTAAAAATAATTAAGTAAATGAAAAGAAATTAAAGAAATAATAATTATATATATATATATATAATTTTCTCGTAACACATCTTCCTAAGATCGTTATTTATACAAATACTATTATAAAGTAATCTTTTTTAGCACATTACTTCAATTATAACAAGTTATTTCAAACAAATTAAGAACATCACCAAAATAATTAGGTGCTAGTTAAACTTCTTTGATGTACCTAGTCCCTTCAAGACATGGATGATTATGGCTCTCCACAACTTCCTGTTTTCTTAATTATACACTTCTGTCTAATAAATAAAACAACTTAGAAGAAAGACATTGTGTTTTTTATCGGTTATTTTTATTGATTTCATCAAAATTTGTATTATAATTCAAACAATAAGTTACTCAAACATTATGCTTGTAACAGTAAAAAAAACATCAAACCATTACCAAATATCTTACATTTGTACAGAATTTATGACAAACATTTCATTGTGTAGATTATACAGGTCATTATATACTCAATGGACACACAAAAAAGAAAAATAGATTAGAAAAAAATATCAAATAACTCTAAAAATAGTAGAGCATATCAATAATAGGTAATTGAAATCTAATGGTATATTAAAGTTTTCTTTAGATATTATAGAACAAACATTATGATTAATAAATAAAGATTCCAAGAAAATATGTTAACATATTAATCTTTAAAAATTTAATGGCTTAAAATTACTAAAGCAAAATCACAGAAAACTGATTTAACAACTGTAAAAACACAAGTGAAATTTGGAAACTATTTCTATGCCAATAAGCCATTAAAATTTAATAAAAGTACTTTTTAAATTAAAAAAGTAATGATGAAAACATATACTAATAGAATAAAAGAATCCTTTTCAATGTTTGTATTAACAAGCCATTAGAATTCAATTGTTACTTATTTACATATTGAAAAAAACTGTGATAAAATGTGGGATATTTATTGTTAATATGATTACAATTTCTTGGAAAGATGGTCAAATCTGCAAACTGAATCTCAGTCAAACCAGAAACGTATTAAAAATTGATTTAAAAATATGTTTACATATTCTGGTGAACGAAAATAATTTTCTTGGTTACAGTGGTAATAAAATAAGCACCTCCCATCTCCCCTCTTGTTTGTAACCATCTACTATAATAAAATAATCATTTTTAGTAATAAAATAACACTTCATAAGCTTCTACTTAAGAGTTGTTGCTATATTACAATTACTTTAGTTAAAAATTACTTATTACAAACATTATTATTAGTTATAGCATGTTTACTTAACGTCATTTCCCTCAATTATTTCGTTAAGATTTCAGTAAAACATCAATATTTCTTTGATCATTTCAGGGTGATTTTTAGTTGGAGTCAAAATTTATTACACTAATCAAGCAAGACTATATGCCCACCCCAAACATATTAAATCTGCAATCTGATGGAGTACTGAAAAATTCTCAGCCCAACCCACTTTACAAAATCTATTTTTTTTTAGAAAAGAGTGGGGTACCCAAAATCTGCCAGCCCTAAGGTTACCATTAGCCAAAAAGAATTAAAATTTTAAGCAACTTTATACAGTAATGGGTTAATTTCATCATTATTATAATTATTATATGATAAAACCCTATTATATGATAAAAAGGAAGAGAAAGTCTCTCTGGCCTGAAGTAAGCTAGTAAATAAGTTTAAGGGTTGCAACCTTCAATTTTTAGGTGAGTCTTCGAAATGCAGATGGTGGCCCCAAAATGTGCGTATGTGTGAGTCTACAATTTATCTTTTCATTTGTCAACTATAAGCATACAGATTGAGATTGATTTGTTTTTTTTTTTTTTACAGCTTATTGTAACCTTTGTGGGTTCTTTAAAGCTGAAGCATATTTTAGAGTGTAAGAATAATTTTTCTTATTTTTGTAAGTTATGCATTAACATTTTTGTTTTGAGAAAACAATGATTTTTTTCCAGATTCAAGTCCTATTTAGCTCATAGCTGGGAAGAGGGAGAGAGAATAATCAGAGGAGAAATTAATAAATAAAAAGGAAGCAATGTAAACAGTTGTAAAGATATAATATAACCCAGAAAAGAATAGAAAATAATGAGAAGATATATGAAATATAAATGACTTACAAAAAAAGATTAAGTCATTAAATCCATGCATAATAACTAATGAGACAATTATTTTAAATAATATCTTAATTTTTATATAAACATATGTTCTTTATAACTTTTACTCCAAAATACAAAAACTTTCTAAAGGCATTTAACTGATTGTACTACCAGTGAGAGTAATATTACTTTAACCATTGATAAAAAACTGTGTTTATTCTTAACTGCAGAGAATTGAATAGTGAAGATAAGTGCATGCACACTATATACTCATTTTTGAAGTTAATTTCTATCAAAATCTTATTTTAAAAAACTTTAAAGAATATTAATATAAAGCTTTCTTAGATATGAAATCCCAGAAAGTTTATGAAGATGTGTCAATGTACACACACACATGCTTATATAGCACGATTTACATTTTCATGGACATCAGACAAAAAAATATCTAATTTTTTTTGCAGTGCTAATAGAGACTCCACCCATAAAAAAAGAGTAAGTAAAATAATAGTATGCTTAAAATGTGAAAAACAAAGAAAATGATTTTGTTTCTTATTTAAAGTTCTGTGTTTTGTTGTTGATTTCCAAAGTTCAATACTTAAATGAATCAGTGGATAAGCTTATCTATATATAAAATTCTGTGACTTCCATTAATCTGTCTGTCTGTCAGTCAGAGCCTCTAAAACAGCCATACATTGACTGATCAAGACCAGATTTTGGAGTGAAATACAAACAGGTAAAGGTGGGTACAAAGTACAGTTGGTTTTACTCAGGTACATAAAAACCATGAAGTAGGGTTTTTGTCAAAGTATTTTTCCAAACAAATCAGCTTATTCAAATTTCATCAATTGGTTTGCGAAATTGAATGAAACTTATAAATCTCGACAAAAAAATGTTATTGCTAACTT